TTATAATTGTCGAGGGTTGGGAAATCCCTCGACAATTAAGAAAGTCAGGTCTTTGCTTCAAAGACAAAATCCCCAAATAGCATTCTTGATGGAAAACAAAAAGAATGTCTCATGAATGGAGGGAAACAATGAGAAAGTTGGGATGGAAAGACGGCTTTGGTGTGGGTTTGATAGGAAGAGCAGGGGGCTTAATGGTTCTTTGGCAACCAAATATCAACATGGAGATTAAGGGCTACTCAAACAACCACACTGATATGCGAATATGTGAAGAGGGAAAGGAATGGAGGCTAACTGGGGTCTATGGATGACCAAAACAATGTAATAAACCTCGCACTTGGAATCTACTCAGACAGTTAAGTGATTTAGCTGATTTACCCTGCTAGTTACAGGGATTTCAACTTGGTTCAGTGTTATGCTGAGAAAAATGGTTAATATGAAGTTGACGAATAGGAGATGGAGGGGTTCAATAAAGCTCTGGAAGATTGTAATCTGGAAGACTTGGGATTCTATGGGAGACGTTTTACTTGGGATAATAATCATAAGGATGATACCTTTTTGGAAGAAAGATTGGACAGAATGGTGGCCACCAATCCCTAGGTGGCTTTGTACCCTCAGGCTCGAGTGTATCATCTAAACCGGTGTGGGTCTGACCATAATCCACTACTCTTGCAGACTCAACTGGGAGAACCAGAGATCCGCTGGGGATCTTTCTTTCGTTATGAAGCCTACTGGCAAAATCATCATGACATTAAAAGTGTCGTGGATGAGGGATGGAAGAAGCACATAAATGGATCAGTTATGGACAAAATACGAGAGTGCGAGGCAAAGTTGAAACACTGGAGCAAGGAGACATTTGGAAATCTCAAATATCGAAGAAAAGAGATTGAGAAGGTACTGGGGAAAATTAGCAAACTCCAAATGACTCGGGCCCTAGTACAGCAGCGGGATGCCCTAGAAAAGGAGCTGAAGATGAAGTGGAAACAACGGTCTAGAACTAAATGGCTAAAGGAGGGGGACAAAAACACCAAATATTTTCACCGTTGTGCTTCAGAAAGAAGAGAAAGGAACACTATAAGGAAGCTCAGGAACACGACTGGGGAATTATTTGAAGGGCAAGATAGAGTGGCAGCTTGTCTGGTTTCTTACTACAAACAGTTATTTTTGGCTGGCCTTCCAAGGCAGGGGAGTCGGATCATTGATTCGGTACCCAGGAAGGTTACAGAGGAACTTAATGAGGATTTGATGAGACCCTTTCCGAGAGAGGAGATTTGGGAAGCTTTGAAACAAATGGGGCCTCTCAAGGCACCAGGAGTGGATGGCATGCCTGCCCTTTTCTTTCAAAAAAAACTGGGACATAATAGGGGCGATGTCACTAGGGAGTTACAAGGATACCTGGAAGGTGGGAACTTTCCAGAGGAGCTCAACCAAACCTTAATCACACTAGTACCTAAGAAGAAAGCCCCTGGAAGTCCTACTGATTTCCGTCCTATAAGTCTTTGCAGAGTCCTCTACAAGATTCTGTCCAAAGTCTTAACTAACAGACTGAAGGGAATTCTTCCTGAGATTATTGTGGCTAATCAGAGTACTTTTGTTTCAGGAAGACTGATTACAAATAATATTCTTGTGGCATTCGAGTGTTCACACAATGCAACAAAAGAAAAAAAAGGGAAAAAGTGGGTTGATGGCTGCAAAACTGGACATTACCAAGGCTTATGACAAAGTGGATTTGATTTTTTCGAGGCCATCATGATAAAACTGGGGTTTAATGATCGTTGGGTACGGTTAATAATGGAATGTTTTTCCACAGTCTCTTTCATTCTATTAGTGAATGGTCATCAGACAGAATGGTTTAAACCAACAAGGGGACTGAGACAAGGGGACCCTATATCCCCATACCTCTTCCTCCTAGTGGCAGAGGGTTTGTCAGGATTGATTTCTACGATGGAAAGGCAGAAGAAGATAACAGGAATCAAGGTTAAGCGAGGAGCACCTAACATCTCCCACTTACTTTTCGCGGATGATAGCATCCTCTTTACTAGAGCAACTAGTCAGGAGAGTGAACAATTGAAAAGAATCCTAAGTCTCTATGAGACAGAGTCGGGACAACAAGTTAATCTGGTGAAGTCAGAGCTCTCATTCAGTCCTAACATTGAAGCATAAAAAAGGGAGGAACTTGCAGGGATACTTGGTATGAAGAGTGTGGAGTTTCATGAGAAATACTTGGGGCTCCCAACGAAAGTGGGAAGAGGAAAAAAAGCAGTCTTTGGATATCTGGTTGACAGAGTGAGGAATAAGGTGAAACATTGGAAAAGCAAGCTGCTATTTATTGCGGGAAAGGAAGTGTTAATTAAGTTTGTGGCTCAATTGCAAATGACATATGCAATGTCAATTTTTTCGATCCCTAGGGGTACTATAAAGGAGATTCAAAAGCTGATTACTAACTTCTGGTGGGGACAACAGCGGAGGAGAAAAAAACCCACCGGTTGCGGTGGGAAGAGCTAAGTAGACCAAAGAAACAAGGTGGCTTAGGATTCCGAGACCTTAAGTGTTTTAATATGGCTCTCCATGGAAAACAATTATGGAGGTTGATAACGGAACATAAGTCATTGGAAACGCGAGTTCTGAAAGCGAAGTACTATCCTACCAGGGATGTGTTGGAAGCTGATAAGGGATGGAACTCAAGTTTTGTATGGAAAGGATTGATGGAAGCTAAGGATCTAATCAAAAAGGGCTATCGATGGAGGGTGGTTAATGGTGAAGGTATTGACATTTGGTTGGATCGCTGGATCCCTAACAGTGAAGGGTTTAAAGTAACATCCCCAACATCGAGAATTGGGGATACTACGTATGTGGCTGAACTTATAGACCTGGAGACAAGAACATGAAAATTTGATCTATTGCAGGCCTATTTCAACACTGAAGATCGAAAGCAGATTCAAAAAATCTTAATCCCTCGCCAACCTTGTCAGGATGAGAAGGTCTGGACAATGGAGACTACAAGGATTTATTCTGTGAAATCAACATACAGGTTGTGGAAAAATAAGAATGAGGAGGAGATTGGTGAATTATATACGCCTGTCAACTGGGAGAGGTTATGGAAATTGAAGATACCGCCTAAGGTGAGGTTGTTTGCGTGGAGATGGATTAGGGATATCTTGCCTACGGGAGCTAGGATTGTTGAAAGAACACAAAGAGGTCATGCAGGATGCCCGTTCTATGAACTACCAGAAACCCAATACCACATATTCAAGGATTGTGCGTGGGTGAGGAGGGTAACTAGGTCTACTCCTATGAATCTACTGTTCGAAAGGGAGGAGGATCTTACCTGTGAAGAGTGGTACTACAACTTGCTAGAAACGAAGGATGATGAACAGTTGGGGAAGTTCCTCGTCGCCCTGTGGTTTATCTGGGAACAGCACAACAGTCAGTTGTGGAATAAAAAGGAAATTGGAAGAATGGAAAATTGTACCTAGAGTAGTAGAGTGGCTGCAAGAGTACCTGGACATGCTAGAAATGGGATCATAAGCTATTTGCCGAGTTTAAGGGAACTGGAGACCATCTCAGTCGACCAAATTTACAATTTCACTAGATGTGGGTTGTCTACCTGAACAGGGAACGTGACTGGGGGGTCGTTATTGGAAGAAAGGATTGGGGTTTTGTTGCGGCGACGGTGAGGAGAACACGGCGGCAGCGGGAAGCATTGGAGGCAGAAGCAATGACGGTGGTGTTTGGAATGGAAATGACACACCGTCTTCAGCTGCTTTTCATCGCAGTCAGTTCAGACGGATTGCCAGCAGGTGGAACGCCTTATCTCAGGCCAGGTGGTCTCTCATGTAGAAGTGGGCCAAATCACACAAGAAATAAGGGAACTGGGCCGGGCTTTTAACCAGATAGAATGGAATCACATTCCTAGAACCCAAAATAGAGTGACACATAGTATGACCCATATTGCTTGCAATTGGGAAAAGGATGAGTGTTTGGTGGATAGACCACCAATTATTTTGCTTTCTCTTCTTCATGAAGAGTCATTATGTTTAAACATTTATGATCAATAAAAGTAGCGGGTGTTGTTTCTAAAAAAAAAGTGTGCTGTTAGGAAGTTGAATCAACATAATTACAAAATAACAATATAACAATGTTTCTAGAAATATCCTCACAAAACATAATTAACAATGTTTCTAGAAATATATATTCCTCACAAAACCAATTTAAAATCATGCGTGTTGTTGATTAGTTCAAACTCTAATGATGGTTCCATTAGCGAACTAACCTTTCCCTCTTGATGACACCTCTCATCACGATAAATTTCTGAGAGTTATACATAAACTAGTAGTGCCAGCACTGCTCTTTAGTCTTTACAAATGGCATGTGCATGAAAATTAAAGTCTTTTTTTTCTTCATTAGATCACTTGTCTCATAGAGAACAAAATGACATTGTTGCAAAGTTAACAAACTTATAGTTACCGAGAAACAAAATCAAAACCCTCCAAAATTTAGTAAATTTAACGAAAAAGCTTTCTCGCTACGAGATTGGCACTCCTGTAATTCACCATGCATGGAACTCAAAACTTGTCATCGAAAATATATTTGAGGATTTGTGATTTATGTTCATATATGCAAATTAAATCCAGATCGATGTTATCACTCCAATTTTAAAGTACGTTTCGTCAATCTTACATAAAATCTCAATCTTAACTACCATAGTTCTAAAATATTGACTTCATCTTCTGCGAATTTTAAGAGGCCTCTTGATCATCATGGAATGTAGAAAAACTCCATGATCATAAGCTGTCGAAATAACCAGCAATCAAAGCTATTATCAACCAAACACGAAACAACCTAATATCGTGTACGTGTATGCACAAACCAGGAATCCTAAAACCATAAACCGTCGAGAGACTAGACTATTTTCTGTGTCTGTGGCAAGGTAAAAAGCTGGCGGAGAAGAGACTTCACAGGATCTACAAGCACACACCGCTGCAACATTACTATCCTCTGTTTCATGTTGAAGCTGATGGAGAACGTGCCTCAGAGATCAGCTGCGTCAACTGTGAACAACATAAACAGCGATTACAACTTTCCCACAAAGGAAACATTCCAGCATTAACTGTAAATAAACCACCACGAATACCACAACTTACCTCCCCCTGAAATCGGGCGAAAATAGACGACAGCCTAGCTTGATAATCCGCTTCCACATTCACCTAAACAACACTCATCCAGTTTTTTTTTTTTTTTTTTTTTCACATGGCAGAAAATGAATCGACAAGAACATCAACTCAATCAAAACACTGCAAAATGGTTGTTTACAGTTTTCCACGGAGGGGGGAGGGGAGAGAATTCAAAAAGAATGACTGTCGACTGACCTGAGCACCATCAGGTGACTGCTGCTCTGCAACAGTTGACTTGCCAGTTGCCAAAGCATCGTTACCACGAGCGCCATAGTCGGGAACAACAACACGAGTAGTGCCAATGGCAAGAGATTCTTGCGGTGCTTGTCCGATGCTCGGCGCTGCGAAGGCATTAACATTTGGAATAGAAGAAATGTTCGGCTTCACCTCATTAACACCAGCTACCTGATGTAGCTGTAGCATTTCTTGTTGCTGCCTTGCTTTCTGATGTAGTGTCAGTAGTTGTGAACATTGTTTAAGCCACTGCTGCTGTTGAAGCATACCCTGCTGCATCAATTGTTTCTGAATCTGTTGATACGGCTGCAGCTGATGCTGGTATTGAAGCATATTGTTTGGGTTTGTCTGAAGAGGAAGGCTTGTCTGCAACGTAGTTAACCCATTTTGTGAAGGCACGGAGCTGAGACTTGCCGGCGGGGAAGAAATAGGGTTCTGTTGTAGAGACCCCATAGCACCCTGCTGAAGTGAGGCCATAGAATCTGTCTGCATAGAGTTCATCATATTATTGTTCTGCTGCATTGCTGATACAGAACCATGCATGGTCATGGGGATCATTTGATTTTCATGGAACTGTGCTTGAGTGATTTGGGACGAAGGTTGTTGTAACGATTGCATGTGAGAAGATGGAAGTTGCCCTTGCTGCATTGGAGGCATTGGCTTCCTGGTCCGATTCGTGTTCAGAAAAGTTATTATCTGTCTCTCGTAGGAACTTAGCTTATCCTTGAAACTGATCTTGACGTTGTCTTTCGATACTTGTAGGAAAGATATCATGCGATCCGCCATAATCTTAAACATCTTTAACTTTTCAAGCTGGTCTGTCTTAGGTTGCTGTGGAAGAGAATCATGCTGGAGAGAACATAACAATTTATCAGTCTCGGAGAATTGCATCAAGAAGTGGACATACGGTACAAAAGAGAAGTTGTCTAGATTTCTTAGTTTTAAGGGGCAGTACATGATCGAAGACATGTATAAACTAATAAATGCATAAACTATGAGAAAAGAAATCAAAACTGAATGCAGGAACTGTGAACAAAGTAATGAACACATAATGCACCAAAATCAAAGAGCACCATGCCTAATGCAAATCTCTCTCATTTTAGGCTCTATAGGTGTTAAATGTGATTGGATGTGCAAATAAGTGCAAATGATTAAAGGACAAATGAAAAACAACTGAAATACTGTTGAACCAACAGCGACCAATAGATGCAAAATTGCTTAACATATATCAAAAGTTAAAAGCTACCTCCTGCAGCTTTGCATCAATTTTCTGGCGCATTTCATTTAACTCGGGTAAGTATATATCCTTGATGGTTTTGATCTGCAAATGAAAAATTAGTACAGAGTAGTCAGCATTTGAATGCAAAGGAATAAAGTGTGCCTATATAACGGCATGAAAAACCTTTTGATAGATTTCCTCTTGCCAATCAACTCCATTTGTCTCATCAGTTTGCACCGTAGAATCTAGAGGCAGTACACAAAGAAAAGAAAATTAGCAAGGATAATTATCTGGCACGTCCCTCAGGGATATAGCAGGTTGGTCATGTCACACAACTTTTTCTGACAGATTAGATTACACCGAGATGAAAGACTCAGAAACATACTTGACGATGTCTCCGAAAGTACTCCTTGTGATTGATATAACTGCTGATCAATCACATTTTGTCGTTGCACCAAAGAGCTTGGGTTTTGTGCAACATTAGACAAGTTGTTCTGCATGCTAGCATTCTGGCCAACAACATTGATTGGAGTCTGATTCATACCAGAAACAGAAGTCAATGAGGATGGTAGACTAGCAGATGTTTGAACTCCAGTAGAAGATATAGTGCTCCGCAAGTTCCGATTTAACAACAGTTGGTATGTCTGAGTTTGATTAGTGGGTAGCAGTGTGGGAAGTGACAGCCCTTGGTTATGAACTTGGGGCTGCATACTAGGTGATGCTGGTCAAGACAGGAAATACACAAGAAACCAAATTAGAGAAACAACCACATTAATTAGCCTAACCCCAAATTTACTTGAAGAGGATTTAGCATTCTCCCTGTCATGAAGCAACAACTATGCAGTGGAAGTGAAAGTCCAAGCAATAACAATCACAGCATGGAGTCAGAAAGCAATTCGGCTCTGTAGTACCTGCTGGACCAGTCAGGCAGCAGAGAACTAGGTACAGAAAACGGTGATGTTTGCTTCACTGGGAGCGTCTTCAAAGATATCTTGTGCAAATAATCAGACTGCATAAACCAACAAAAAACAGAAATGACATAAAACTAGTGCACCCTCGATCTTATCTTTGAGATACAGTTGTCTGCACAAAATTTCCATCTTTCATAAACTCGCGACTTTATGAACTTGTGCTACAAACGTTACTACCCTTGAAGAGAGATACCTCACTAGTTGCAGCAGCATACATCTTTTCCTCAAACAATTCAGCAATTATCTTCAGTTCTTGAACCCCATCTGGACCAGAAATTTGTAGATCCCTCTTTAATGCCTCGAATCTGTGCAACAAGTCAACAACAGTCATAGTTAATGGCCATGAGGATCGATAAGTCGTACATAGTTACAACAGAAGCAACTAAGCAAGAGGCAAAACACCAAGAACAATTCACGAACATGTAGTAGCCCTTAGGAAAGCACTAGTCATTTCCTTAATTCATACTTGTGTACCAAGATAACCTATCATTAACACCAGAGGCGGAGGTAGCTCATGGGCTGGGGGGCATGGGAAATCTTTATGTGTAGGCATAAATAATACATCTCTTGCCTTAGTCTGATGGTAAAATGCTTTTCCTGGTACCTTGGGAACAAGGGTTTTTTTTATCCCCCATCATACATCACAACCCCAATTATTATCATTTTCAGTTTCATATTCTCTTTAGGCTTTATAGTGCATCATGTTTAATTTTGTTTCACTAATATCCCTTTCTTGCTATTATTAGCCTTTTTTTTTTTTTTTTCGTTGAATCAGTTACCCCTTTATTAAGTAACGAATTGCCAAAGCAGCAATCCAAGATACAACGAAAAGCAAGGATACCAAAGCAGCATCCCCACGCAAAAGAAAAGAACCAAAGGAACTCTGCTAGCGACTAAAAACAACCAGCAGCATCAATACACCCTACCCTCCAACTACTGCAGACCTAACATGTGTAAATCCCTCAACATTAATTCTCTAATTACATGAACTTCTCGCGGAGCCTCATCATGGTATCTCCTACAGCGTTCCTGCCAAATATAAGTGACAAATAGACACCATTTAACATTAATCCCACGCTGAGAATCACGCTGCACTGCTGCACATAGAGCCTGCACAGTCGCCACCCAAGAGCCTCGGGCCAACCCATCCTGCACAAACCCCTGCATCAACAGCCGAGTATATTCACAAGTAACAAAAAGATGATCTCTTGTTTCACTTTCTAGGCCACAAAGGACACACTTGTCCTCATTCACCTTCCCCCAACGCAACAGCTTACTCTTCGTTGTAATACCATCAAGTAAAACCAACCAGGCAATGAAACTAAAACGAGGCACATGATTTGGCCCCCAGACTAACTTATACCACTCCACAGCGCTGCTCTTTGGACGTAGAGAATCCCAGACCCGCTTTACCGAGTATTTTTCCATAGGTTTCCCATCCCACCAGGCACAATCTCCTTGCCTGCTAAGAAGAGACTGCACCTGTGAACGTTTCTTCAGAATCTTCCGCCAAGCCCAGGAGCTATTAGAGTTCTCCTTCATGGTCCAGATGTCTTCCGTCTTGCAGCGATAACGTAGTGTCCAAGCAACCCAAATAGCACCCGATTTCATCATCAATAGCCACAAAAATCGTAAAGAACAAGCAGTATTCCAGGAACTAAATTCCCGAATCCCCAATCCACCTTCCTTCTTAGGCCTGGCCACCCTTTCCCAACCAATTTTTGCTCTTCCTGTCTCACTGCCATGCCATAAAAAGTCCATACAAATCTTCTGAACCCTCTTCAAGATCTTTTTAGGCAATATGAATACCTGCAACCAGTACTGAAGCAGACCTGTCACCACCGAAGTAATCAATTGCAATCTCCCAGCAAATGTAAGTGTTTTTGCCCTCCACGACCTAACTTTCTTGGTAATCGCTGCTGCCAATGCCTCACAATCTCTATCCGTCAACTTCCCTGAGATAAGAGGCAATCCCAGGTACCTTACAGGTAGACAACCCTCAGTAAACCCTGATAAGTTCAGGGCATTTTGCTTATATCGAACTGATTCCCCTCCAAAGAATACTGAGCACTTTGCAGGATTGCACTTTAACCCCGATTGCCAATAAAACTGTTCCAGTACCTGCTTCACGGCCAATATAGCTCTAGCTGATCCCACTGTAAATATTAGCAAATCGTCTGCAAAACAAAGATGATTCAAAGAGATTTTGCTGCACAATGGATGGAAAGGGATCAGGCCCTGCTCAGAGGCGAGAGCATACCCGAGAGACCTTCCATTGCTACAGCAAACAGATAGGGGGAGAGGGGGTCCCCCTGCCTCACCCCCTTCTTAGCACAAAAGAAACCCTTCATTCCACCATTAATACAGATACTGAAATGAGCCGTTGATAAGCAAATATGGATCCAATCCAGAAACTTAGCAGGGAACTCCATCAGCCTCATAATCATAAACAAATAATCCCAGTTAACCGAATCGAAGGCCTTCATAATGTCTATCTTAACAGCACAGCGTGATGAGAGCTTTTCTCTATGATAACCACTAACCAGATCTTGAGCTAACATAATATTGTCTACAATCTGCCTGCCTTTGATAAATGCAGTTTGATTAAGACTGATAACACTAGGCAACACCTCACTAATCCTCTTAGCTAAAATTTTTGCAATCACCTTATAAAGGACATTAATGCATGATATCGGACGAAATTCTTTAAAAGTCTCAGCATTAATTACCTTTGGAAGCAGTGCTACAGCAGTGGCATTGATCCCACTTATGAGCCTGTTGCTCTCAAAGAAGGCTTGTACCCCTTTTGTAATGTCTTCTCCAACGATGTGCCAGGTTCTCCTGAAGAAACCAGAGGAGAACCCATCAGGGCCTGGCGCCTTGTGAATGTTCATATGGAAAACCGTTTCCCTGATTTCTTCCACCGACACAGGCTGGCATAACAACTCTTTGCTCTGAAGAGAAAGCTGCTTATGAATCACCCCCGTCAGAAACTGCTGATCTGGCTTGATTTCTGAGTTAACCACACCAAACAACTTCTGATAAAAACCCACCGCAGCTTCAGCCACCTGTTCCACATCCTCAATCACCTCACCATCCTCTGTTTTAACTCTTCGAATAGCTCTTTTGGCTGTTCTGATTTTCACAGACTGGTGAAAATATCTAGTACTCTTGTCACCTCTCTTTAGACCGGCCTCCCTTGATTTTTGCCAATACAGTCCCTCCTCAGCTTTTTTTGCAACCTCCAATTGAGATTCCAGCTCTTCCTTCCGTGTCAAGTTATCCTCTGTGGGTGCAGAGAAGCACTCTGCCTTTACCAGCAATAACCTCTTTTCAAGCTCCTTGACCTGAGTAGGAATATAGGCAAAATGATTCCTATTCAACTGAATCAGGGCCTTCTTGACTTCACGAAGCTTCCTCTGAACAATAACCCAGGGATGTCCAGCTATTCTTACTGACCACGCTTTCTCCACTAATGGGAGGAAATCAGGATGATCCCCCCAAAAGTCAAAGTACTTAAACGGTTTTGGCAGTGTTTTATCAGAACCCATAGCCTTTACTAAAATACCACAGTGATCAGAGAAGGTACCTGGCACTGCCTCAGTAATACAGTGAGGAAAAGTAGTAAGCCAATCAACGTTTACCAATGCCCTATCTAGCCTTTTAGCAATAGGATTCTGCTGCTGATTGTTAACCCAGGTAAACACAGGACCTAGAGTGTTAACATTCTCCAGCTCCATGTTGTTCCGCCATTCATCAAACTCCATCATACTTGAGGTCAACTGTATCTGATTTGAGGCTTCTTCTGGTTTCATTATTGCATTAAAATCACCTCCCACTAACCAAGGAGCACCCATCACTTTGACTTGCCTTATATCTGCATAAGTATCTCTACGCTCTACTTCATCATTCGCACCATAAACCGCAGTGAAAAAGAACATCTCACCGCCCTGCTCCTGTACCATAGTATGTACAAAATTCTTGCCTGGTTTCAAAATCGTTACCTTAACTTCCTGCTTCCAGAAAAGCCAAATCCGACCCAAATCCGATTCACAATAACTCAAATGCCTTTCCCAACCAACAAGAAAACCCTCTGCAATTTCCTCCGACTTTGCTTGTCGTACTCTAGTTTCCAGGATAGCTACCAAACTAATATTGAGGCGTCTCAGGACCTGGGAAAAGTCCTGCCTCTTCGAGGATTTGTTAAATCCCCGAACGTTCCATATTAAGCAATTCATGTTGAAGACTGGGGCTGAAGCCCCAACCTCTTACTACCTCGTTTGGGAGCATCCTGAAAATGAACGACCTCCTCATCCTGATCCGCCAAAATATTGAAAGAGGAGGGAGAACCAGCCAGCACACTAGTAGGGCTAGGTGCAGGGGACCAGATACGCGGTTTAGCTCCATGAACCACCATTTGGAACTCAGCTTCTGAGGGTAACTGTGGAGGTCCTGCAACAGGCAAGGGGGAAGTCACTTCCGAGAATGCCACATCCAGGTTGATCCCCCCTATAGTAATTCTGGAGGAAGACTGAACCAGTGATGGAGAATCAACAACCAAATTTGAGTTCTGAGGCTCTGCTGTTTGCTTTGCCACCACCTGAGAATCTGAAGAAATCAATGGGAAATCGACAGCCCTATGCTCAACAGTCGGATTAACCTGCCCAGCTGGAGCCTTAGGCACCCACACCTGCTGCCCCGGCACAATGTCACAGCAACCCTTTCCAAACATCTTGCAA